ATGGGTTTGCACCATAAGAGAGATCTGAGACAGGGTCTACTTGCAGGTGACAGGCAGTGATGGTCTGATCTCTGATAAGGGCAACATCAAATCAAGGTTTTTCAATTTGTGCCTATTAAGTGAACGATTGGTGTACAACAGGAAAAGAACTCGATGTACTCAAGACATAGTTCATTGAAATAGGAACTAAAAGACAAGCTCCCCGTCAGGGAATCGAACCCTGGTCTCCCGCGTGACAGGCGGGGATACTCACCACTATACTAACGAGGACTTGACAGGTATCTGACCACGCCCCATCATTCGACGACAGATTGCGTGTCATGCGTGGACAAGTGACCACATACAACATGGGAAATTTTAGGCAAACATTTTGCAGCATCCGTTTGCAATTTGCCAAACACAGCAAATCACTGGAATATTTTCATTACAACATGGCTGCAGCATAGTCTTGCTTGTCTTGTACATAGGTAATCAAAGAATTTCCCACTTTTTATTAATAACAGCTCATTCTTTTGAGAGAGCTGTTGACAGTATTCTTAAGCAATGGGACAGCTTGTGGATTCCATTGCTTTTCTTTGCTCACTATTGTCTTTTCATGCTTGGCCATCAATGCATTTTGACTCGTTTCCTTTCAATCTGGGTCGTTTATTGTTTTTTCTATTGTGCCACTACACCCTGAAAGGTACAAACTATCTCAAACACTTTCCGTAAAAATTAAAAAAATATCCACTCGACTTGGTTTCCAAGATTTGAAGACGTTTCGCCACCTCTCCAGGAAGCTTTCTCAATTCAAATGTCTGGATCCGCAGTGAGTTTGAGTCTTATATAGACAAAGCATTGTATCGCTTGGAAACATGCAAATGGTCCAAGTCCAGTGGATATTTTTTGAATTTTTACGGAATGACTATGACCTGGATGACTGAGAACCTTCATCAGCATATCTCAAAGACTGAATGTCAGCGTAATACCACTGAATGTGTTTTTGAATTTCAATTTTGCATGATGGAAAACTATATTTATCTATAAAACGTAGTCAAAGGCAATGGTCGTTGAGCAACAACCTCACTAATTTACTTGCTTGACTCCTGTTGCTTGCAGCAGGAAGTAGAGCCTTCTGCATGCAGTCAAAGGACAGTCGGCAGTTGAACATGCTCCTTCTGCTTGTTTGTCATAATCTCAGTCCCGCGTGATAGGCGGGGATACTCACCACTATACTAACGAGGACTTGGTAGGTCTCCGACCACGCCCCATGATTCAACGATACTTTTCGTGTCATGCGTGGACAAGTGACTACATACAACATGGGAAAATTTAAGCAAACATTTTGCAGCATCCATTTGCAATTTGCCACACATAGCAAATCACTGGAATATTTCCACTACAACATGGCTGCAGCATAGTCTTGTTGTCGTGTACATAGGTAATCAAAGAATTTCCCACTTTTTATTAATAAGAACTCATTCTTTTGATAGAGCTGTTGACAGTATTCTTAAGCAATGGGACAGCTTGTGGATTCCATTGCATTTCTTTGCTCACTATTGTCTTTTCCATGCTTTGTTTCTATTTACATTATTTACTGTTTTTGACCCAAGGAAAAGGAAAATACGACTCGTTCTTTAAAATCAACCTTATTTTTCTTTTTCTTAAATTGTATATACAAATGCAAGTACAGTAATTACACACCTTTGTTCCCTGTTTTCATGAAATATCTAAGTTGATAATATTATCTCATTCTCTCTTCCATAATACAAATTTTGTGAAAAACCAAGTTTATTAAACTGAATCATCGACTCATACAGGAGCTCAAAAACAAATGTCATGAATAACATGTAAAGCTCTGCATACCTCACCTACTTCCATTAAAGTTTATCATGATTATATAATATTAAAGAGAATGGGCTTCGATAGGAGACCTGGAGGGTGAAAACCACTAGCCTGGGTGCCATTCCGAACTTAGTCCCGCCCACAACGTTTGAGGTCGGGAAGTTCGGTCTGGCATTGCTCAATATTAGCGCGAGTATGCTGGCGCAAACTCTGGCGGGCCAATCACATTGTCAGGGCGGGCTTTATACGATGATGGACAGATGATCAACAGTAACGTAATCAACCACGTCACCAAAGCGCGCTTGGGTGACAACAACAATGGCTGCCGCTGGAGAGTTGAGGTGTGTAGATTCTGCTATTAGGTCTGTTCTAGAAGATATAGACAGCAAATTAATATTAAAAAAGGAACAGAGAAAAGCGATCAAGGCTCATCTTCTTATTATAGGCGTGCAACTGCACGCTTTGATTTTTGTTGACAACAACTATGTGTAGCTTAACATACGTCACGCACTCCGTTGCTCTTATTGGTTGTAGGTCTATCCAATTGAGTGCAGAGACATTTTTTTTCCTCGTTCGTTCGAAACACGCCCCATAATCACAGCTCTATGGAGCAGTATCAGACTCATATTCTGACTAGAATTGAGTCGGACTACGTCAGGCTAGAAAACCACGGCTGATGGAGAAGAAATAATGATGCAGAAACTTCTACTTTTTGTTCACCAGAACATTGTTGTTGTTGCATAGCTAAAATTTATGGGACAGATTCCAAAAATGGCGTCTGAATTTCTGTAATTTCATTCCAACATTTGATGGCTTGTGAAAATCAGACACTTAGCTGTGTTTTTGTTATAAAGTAATAACTCTGTCTCTCCTGGATGGATGCCTGCTCACTGGGTCTGATTAAAGGAAACATCGAATTGAGTTTGTTTTAATTGCATAGATAAAAATGTTGTTTGAAAGCTTTTTATTCCTTTTTGCTCTGAAAGGAGGATCAGTTTGAAGTTGGTTTTCTGACTTTCAGACTACTTACTGAGCTTATTTTAGAAATTAAAAGGATAAAAATTTGAATATTTATGTTCAGCAATTGAAGCTCCAGAAACTTTTCTAAGAGAAGAACAAAAGAGGGTAGAAAACTGCAACAACAACAACAAAAATTAGAGAAAATTGCTCCGAAAGTGATTTGAGATCAGAAGTGACAATTTCCTCCCCAACTTTTCTCCACCATCAGTTCTTAAATTTATTTTCTTATCCTCTTTGCTGACTTGAACCCAGATTGGAGAAAAGAAAATAAAGACCCCGTTTGGCTGAAAGAAATGACATATTTCTCCTTATCGCATCAGTGGAGCTGGTGAAGAGATTTCATGCTGCAGAAGCACAACGTTTATTAGATCTCAGGAGATTTTCTGCAGGCTGAGTCAGCAGATAGATTTACTACAAGGCATCTTAATTTAGGAAGAAAATTCCCTGATAAACTTGAGCTCCTAAGAACAACTCATTTAAACAATGAAACACTTGGAAAGAGCTTAATCTTTACATAATTCATCTTCAGAGCCACTATCTGCTCACATTGCTCCAGCATCCTCTCAGACTTTAGTAATGATTACATTTGGCTCCAGGTCTGAAAGAACCTCTGGAGTATTAAACCAAAAAAAAAAAAAAAGTGCCATAATTCTGATTTATATTTAGAGCTGTATACATATTAAAGCCAAATGGCCATTTCTCATTTCTGTTAAGTGGATTTTAATGGAGCCAGCTGTGTAAGTTGCAGATGGCTATTTGCAGGAAAATGCCTTATTTTCATGCTTTTATTTACAGCCCTCCTTCTGTGAAGCGTTTGAATTAATAGCTAGTGGGGAGATCTGTTGCCTATTAAGAGATGAATCACATTCTGATGATATCGAGAACTCAGATATCCACAATCCACAGTCATATGAAAATACTCAGACTGCAGATGTGTTGAATGTACAACCCATATCAAGTCAACTCATTGAAATCTGGGTTTTGACTACATCCTAATTTACATTTGTTTCAAGTTTCTCTTAGGATTTTTAGTTAACTTACAAGGTCCAATTGTGGTTAAAAAAAATCTCTTATTGATTTCTCATATATTGATTTAGGAGAGCTGATTTTACATTTACTTACTAATATTTATTTCATTCAGGCCTCAGAGCAGCAAGGCTACAATGTGTCTAAGGGAGAGTAGCTAGAGAGTAGAGGGTTTTGGTTAAATTAACATTAAAACTATACATTTAAATAACATATATATATTAGATTAGATTAGATTAGATGAGCTTTATTGATCTCACAGCGGAGAAATTCACTTGTCACATATTGGGATAGAAGTCAAAAAAAAGGTGCAAACAAGGAGGAAAAGGTGCATTAAGAATAAACAATAAACAATAAATATAATACAGTATATCCAGGTATATACAGTATATCAAGGTAAATAAGGATTAAGGTGCAAGTGTACCTGTATCGCACACAATAAAAAACAATATATATATATATATATATATATATATATATATATATATATATATATATATATATATATATATATATATATATATATATATATATATATATATATATATATATATATATATATATATATATATATATATATATATATATATATATATACATATACATTTATGTACATATATGTATTTAAATCATATTTTTTTAAACATTGATTCATAAAAACGATCTGAGGATCAGTTTTTCAGCGATCTTCACCACACTTAATTGAAGAATAAAAACATTTGGGCAATTTTTAAAGGAATTATTTTTAGAATCACTTTGAAAACAAGATTATAATAACAACAACAAAAACCTACATTAAATTCAGTATAAATCTACTGCTGGTCAATCTAAAAAAGAAATGCACAACAAAATGAAATAGAAATAAAAGGAATAATAGGAATAAAAAAGAAAAAACGGGGGAAATCTCATTTTAAATAGCTAATAATTAATTTAAAACAAAGCCTAATAGCAAATAAGTACGTGTGAATTAAATAGATAAAATCTGAATTTAATCACATGGTTGGGTACATTATAGAGTATTTGTATTGTTTAATTTTCTTCCTAGTTATTATAATCAATTAATAAATGTTTATTACTGAGTAAAGAAGGTCGGAGAGACGTAGCGTCAGAGCTGACGTCAGTGGACCTTGCTGAAGTCGCTTGTGCGCATGCGCGAGGAAAATGCGATTATTCCGCATGACACAGAAAGTCCAACCTGTTCTTTTCCTCGTGCAAGGTAAGACATCTGCACTGGTTTATGCTTTAGGGCACATAATAACCAGCAGGAATTCATTAAAATAAAGGAATTTTATTTAATAAGTATTTCTTATGCATATCGCTTAATATTTTACTAACTGACATGAATACATGCATAATTAAAGGCCTGAACGCTGCAAAGCAACAATAGTCAAATTTACAGAAATAGTGTTATAAACTATTATATGATCTTTGATAGCCTAAAGGAGAAAAATAACCTTTAAAAGTTTGTTTTGCAAATTATAATGGTTAAAAAAAAACATGTTATTGAATTCTATGTAAAATGTTAGTATGGATCATTAGGGAAAGTTATTTGAAGCAGCTTTTATGAATTAAGTAAAGGTTTCGCAATGAAGAAAAAAAGTAGCTTATAGAATAAGTAAATAATGTAGTTTGCGATCAATCATTTAAAGTGTTTTGATTTCAAATTTCAGTAAATCATACATGATATAAATATCATTGAACAGCCCTTTTTGTTGCAGAGATGGATTAGATGTCGCAAATGCATTTATCTATAAAAATATAAGTAGATTTGACGTTGTAGTAATCTAATAATTTATTTCCCCCCATTCAAAAATATATCTCTATTAAGAGGATGCACCATCCATATAAATAACACCCTATCAGGGCTGCTGCTGCAAAGAGCCACAGCGCAGCTATAGCAGCAGTAAAGTAATTAAACTTTTTTATTTCAGACTTTAGACTCAAAGCTGCACTGTTCAGCAGTTCTTATCATAGCTTTTTACACAATGGATTAGATAATACTTAGAACAAGAGCTTTTGCAGCGTGTTTTTGTTTCCGTTTACAGATTTAATGATTAATTGTTGTCAAATGATTAATTCTTAACACTTGAAGCTGAACATTAACTGGGTTCCACTCAATGACCAAACTTTTGTTTCATCTTTTCCTTTTTTTCTTTTTTTTCTTCTTGTGTTGTTTACAGTTAATCATTATTTAAGTAGGTGGAAAACCTCAAAAAGACAAAAAAATCTTTGACAAGTAAGACAAGTTACTGACAATCTTTGTCAGTTAGAGATTGTCAACACAAATACAGAGCAAATTGTTTGTGTTACGTTATCCTCTTCCTGCTCCTTTGCCATAAGGAAGGGTCAAATAAATGAGTTTTTAATTTAAAATCTAGAATATTTTTTTATATTTAAAGACGGTCAAAATCACTGTTACAATGCCTTTTGTATATAATCTATGAATTCATTAAAGTTAGGGGATTTAGATATAAAATGACAATATCTGCACACCAACGCCTCCACAAAAAAAAACGATCAATATCAGTTTACAAAGTTATATTCAACTTATTTCTATTGTCAGGAATTTTTTCTAAAGCTGCAAAGGGTTTTTTTTTATCCAACTGAATATAACAAATAATCAGCATTTTCATCCATTTTTACTTCCTGAATTTTAGACACGAAGCGTCTTAATAGCTCAGGGCAGAAAGGCGGAAGGAACCAAAGGTGTTCCACAGGGACCACTACTTGGACACATTCAGTTTATATCTACCAGCAGCTTTCAATCACATTTAGATGTATGTTAATGCTTAGTATTTACGTGGATTGCTCCAATTACCTTTCAGTTTGATTGAAAACAGTTTGTCCAGGGCGTGATCCAACAATTTATCTTCACCAAACCCTTTTTTTTTTTTGTTTTATGGACAGAATAAAAGAATAGCAAGAAAAAAACTCATTATAGGTTTTTTTTTTCTCCTCCATTCCTCAGGTGCCTTCTATCGTCATGAATCACGTCTTTGTTTACGGCTCGCTAAAGAGGGCCCAGCCTAACTACCATTACATGACAGACAGTAACAATGGAAAGGCGGAGTTCCTTGCCACAGCCGTCACCGTCCAGAAGTACCCACTGGTGATCGCCACTAAGTGCAACATCCCCTTCCTCCTTAACCTCCCAGGACAAGGCAATAGAGTCCATGGGGAGATCTACAGAGTGGACGAAAAGATGCTGGAATTCCTGGATGAGTTTGAAAATATACCCACCATGTACCAGCGGACAGTTGTTAAACTGGAAATCAGTGAGTGGGCAGGAGGGACGGGCGAGGAGAAGCTATCGCCTGGAAGCATCACAGAGGCGTTTGTGTACAGCACCACAACCTACCAACCGGACTGGCCCTCGCTGCCGACGTACGAGAGCTACGACTCCAATGGAGATCATGGCCTAAAGTTTATACTGAGGGAAGATCGAAACTGGGCTTCAGTGCATTGATGTTAATCATTTTCAAAAACATGTTAAGCCAAAACAAATCTGTGCGCAAATGAAGTGGAATTGAATATATGACAAACAGGAAGAGGCTGGCATTATTAATTAAATAAGTCAAAAGAGCCTATGGTTTACTTTAAAAGAAACATATAAGACTAAAATGGAAAGTAGCAGGTACATTTTTTCCTACATAATAAAGCACATGGCTAAAATAGCCTGTATGCAAACTGATGCCGCAAGACTCCACTACTGAAGAAAACATGTTCAAGCTTGTTTCTTCTACTTTGTATGTGTGGATTAACTTGCCTTAACTTGCCTTGCCTTATCTGAATGACACCTTTGTAAATGTTTTAACTGCTGTATTCCTTGATTATCATATTTCCTTCAGATCCAGGGAGAAAGGTGGGAAAATAATGCCTAAAATGTCTTTAAAGAATCCCTGATATAGTAAGTTTTTCTTTGATGCTAGTGTAATAACTTTTCTACTGTATTGTTAGATTTTTTTTGGTGTGAGCAATAAAGATGTAATAGTACTTCTGGAATAGTTTAAAAAGATGTTAATATATTGCTGCGAGCATCTGTTATTCTGGAGGAGTCCCTTTGGATTCTTTAAAATAATTTTATACAGAATGACAGAAATATGGCCGATCAGAAAGGTGGATGGACCCTTCCTTAAACATTCATTTAAAATTACATTTAAATAAACAGATTATTACATTTTAGACCCAACAGTTTTCCTCTCTTATTAAATACATTTTATTTAGTTTTTAACATAGTAAAAAGCACATTTTACATCTATATTAAGATAGAGATTAAGATTAAAGGCTGAAAAGGGAGGAGTGAAGATTTTTCTGCTGAGCTGATGGAAAACCTCCTTCCACCAAAAGGAATAAAACTATTAATTAGCTTGTGATAGAAATCTGTCATTAGTTTCTATTTGTCTCCAGGGTTCTTTCTTATACTTGTTTTAATACCAGATGTTACTCCTCTCGAGATAATCAAGGCTCAACGTTGTTCTTTTGACGTTAACAGCCATTTATTGTGGACACGTCTTATAAAGCCCCAAAAAAATGATGTCAGAACTCATTGGCCGCATAAACTCCAGAGGAATAAAAATAATTTATACAGCTTTTCTTACAAAAAACAGTCTTGAAGCTTTCTGATGAAACTCCTTGAAAAACAGGTGCATGCAGAACAAAAAACATAGGTTCCTCCTTACATTTTAACGTGCTTTATAAATTTACTGAAAGTTATTTATGATTGAGCGTTTAATTTTAATACTAGTAGGTACTAACTCTTGTTTTAACTAAATATTAAAATATTGAAATGAGTTGACTCTGATGGCACCTACACCAGATCTTTGCCATATTTAAATTTATCAAGCATTTATTTCCTTTATTTGATAAGAACCTTATTGTTAATGGGAAGCTTTGTGTTTAGCCATTGGAGCTTTCTCTCTCCAGGTTCTTTTTCCTGAAACGAGATCACTCAGGACTAACTCTTTAAATAACACTTCATAATGTAAATAACAAGGAGAAAAGACAACAGATTTTGATAGAAATTATAATCTTACTCAGATCAGAGAAGTTGCTTTGAGTTACGGAATGCAGTGGCACAATTCACAGTTAAAGAAGCATTTAAAAAAACTTCAGTATACCACATCATTACATTATACATGTTAACAGATAAGGAGGCATCCATGGCTCTAGCTTTATCAAAATATTACATTTTGATCTTAGATCAAGGACCCAACTCCCTTTTCCAAATATTTCCCATGTGCAGAATAAAGATAACTGTATTTCCTGACAGAAGACAGAATTACTGGGGAAAACATTAATTCTGACACGCAACAGGTAGGTAATATAAGGCTGTAATAAACTCACAATGCCAATTGCAGTGCTTGAAACACTGGTTAGTGTTCCAAAGAGCACAATGAAAGATCAATTTAGTGACTGTTCCTTCACCAGACTACTACTATCCCCATAGGTAGGCGGATGAAAGTCAAAAGTTTTACCAATTTCTTTTTAGAGCAACATTTCTAATCAGTCTACCTTCTAAATGTACAGTACCTTTGTCTTCCAGTAGATGGCAGTATATGACTATAAATAACAGCCGAGGTCAACAGAATCAGAGGAATCAAGTTAAATTGACTTGTAATTGAAGATAAAAGCAAATGGGTAGTTTTTATTTTTAAACCAAAAAAGTAAAGGAGAAAAAGTAAGGATATACTGAGGTTTATAGAAAACAACCAAAAGTTACTATCTGTGTAGATTGTGCGCATGTGTGAGCACGTGGTTTCTTCCCATTAACTCCTTAAACACGTTCCTGCTTCCGGGAAGAAGACCCCTGCACCTGTTTACTTTTATCTTGGATTTTCAGGTAAAAACACTGTGCGATAAAAATGTGTTTGAATATGTAATAGATAATAAAGCTCTAACCATTAACCCAGTTTCTTAAATATGGTAAACAGAGAGTGTGGGTGCAAATGTGTGTTAGGGCTACTGATTTCAGGCATAATGGTGCGAAAAACTCCTCTGATATTCGATCTGATGCTAAATTAGCTGACCGACTCGTATTTATACCCCGACATATGCCAGATGTCAGCATGATGGTAAGCCTTTAAAAATCGACGCCAATAGCAAAGCAGACAGTGGTACTATTAATTACTATGTTAATAACTGTGTATAGTTCATAATATAAAACGTGTCAAACCACAATAATAATCTTAAAAGAACGATGTATTTGAGTATTTTTTATTTTTTTTACACTACATCTTGGAATTATGGGTAATCCCGAGTGTCGCACTTCATGGGGCCCACCCAGATGTTGCTTATGGGCCTATCGTTGTGTCGTTACCATAATGGATATCTATGGTCGTTACGCCATTGATATAATAAAAATAAAATATAATAAATGGATAAGTAGCATTAAGAATTATATGAAACAGCTCTGGTCTTGTTAAAAGCACTGAAGGTCAACAATTCAGATTTAACATTAGGCTGTCAAAGTTACAGACCTGAAAGTAAAAAAAAAAATAATCATACATTTATTAGGTTTAGTTAAATTTCAGTTACAAGGTTATTTTTCTGTAATTTAGCTTGGTCTATTTTTGTTGATGATAAATATTGGCGATATGGCTTAAAAATATAATCCTTTCAAAAGATCTATTTTTTTCTCCCCTAAAAATGACAAAAAACATACATTGCTTTCAAATACCAGCTTTTATTTCTCTCCATTGTGAGGACAATAGAATGAATGCTTGAAAACAGTGATTCAGAGTTGTTTTGAAATTATAACCAACTCAATGTTTGCAGCTAGTGGTGCGAATTTAGTTCTAGTTTATTAGTTACCGGTATAAGTACATAACTAAGAACAATAAGAGATGGATTGAAGTCATCCTGAGTTATAAAAGCCAAATAAGTGCATTGGTGGGGAAAAAAGGCTTGATTTGCCGAAAATGTAATCTTCTTTAGCAGAAAAGTCAATACATTCTTAACTGGGTTGTACAGATCTTTAATGTACTTTAATGATTCTCCAATATAAGTTGCTTGATGGTGAAAAGAATTAATTCTGACATTTCCGCAGCCAAGTGTGCCACAAGGTGTAGTACTTGGCCCACATTTAGTCTATATGTGTACCAGCATATACACTATCCTAAATCTGTAGTACAAGAATAAAGATAATACTAATGATTACTTTATGCTAATATTACTGATATGTAACCAGTGACCCTTTTAATCTGTGCTTTAATATCTATCTACCTAATTACAGTACCTTATTTTTGCTTTTTTATTAAACATTATTTTTAGAATATGGTTGTGTAAATAATAATTGATATCATGGTAATCAGCTGGGATAGGATAATAAAGAAAAGCAGATCAATTTAAATACAGATCCAGCAGTTTTTAATTTACAATTATACATATGATACTGGGATGAATTCTATTCAGTTTCAATTCAGTTAAGTTTATTTCTATAGCGCCAATTCACAACACATATCATCTAAAGGCACTTTACAGTTCACCAGATCATACAGTCAAATTGATTCAAACTTTTCTATCTAAGGAAAACCAGTTGATTGCATTGACTCGAATGCAATCCCTCACACTAAGCATGCTTGTAGCGACAGTGGAGAGGAAAAACTCCCTTTTAACAGGAAGAAACCTCCAGCAGAACCAGGCTCAGTGTGAGCGGCCATCTGCTGAATGAATGACACTGGTAGAGAACTACTTCCTGAGAGTACAAATATAATCTTGCACTGGTCCAACTAACCAGATTATATTGGGTTGGCTTTGAACAAAACAACAACTGAAAGACAGAATCATATGTATTTTTCTCCTCCTTTCCTCCGGTGCCTTCTATCATCATGAATCGCGTTTTTGTTTACGGCTCCTTAAAGAGGGCCCAGCCTAACTACCCTTACATGACAGACAGTAACAATGGAAAGGCGGAGTTCCTCGCCACAGCAGTCACTGTCCAGAAGTACCCACTGGTGATCGCCACTAAGTACAACATCCCCTTCCTCCTTAACCTCCCGGGACAAGGCAATAGAGTCCATGGGGAGATCTACAGAGTGGACGAAAAGATGCTGGAATATCTGGACTGGTTTGAGAAGGTCCCCAGCATGTACCAGCGGACAGCTGTAGAGCTGGAAGTCAATGAGGTGGTGGACAGAGAGGAGAAGGAGGAGAAGCTATCACCTGGAAGCATCACAGAGGCGTTTGTGTACAGCACCACAACCTACCAACCGGACTGGCCCTCGCTGCCGACATACGAGAGCTACGACTCCAACGGAGATCATGGCCTAAAGTTTGTACTGAGGGAAGACCGAAAATAGGCCTCTGCCCGATGAAGTTAGACTTCTACCTCTTTGCAAATGAGTAATGAACTGTTACTGCCCTTAAACCCAGAGAAAGGGGATCAAGAGTTCCTGCTGCTGAGATTGGGTGAAAGGAGACACTATTGATAGAACTGATGAAATAGTCTGTTTTTAGAACTGTGTTAGTGTCCTTTTTTATAGCTCCTTTGTTTTGTAAAGCCTGATTTTCTGTAAGATCTCTAGTTTGTTTGTTCAAAAAGTGATCAGAAAGTCTATGTTATCTTTTTATGACCAATTTCCTAGGAGACAATTAACTATAAGCTGTAGAGCTGTAAAGTTTGAGTCATGTTCATAGCAGTGGCGGCCGGCCCATAGGGGGCGCTGGGGCACCGCCCTCCCTGATAAGAAGAGAGAAACGTAAAATATATTTTTAGAAATTAACTCATAAATGTCAGTTTTACTCTCTAGACTGTGTACCTATAAGCAAAACAAATTATATAAACTACATTTCCCTATCTACTGTCATTAATTTGTGGATTTCCACAGACAGACTCCTACCGTCTCTGTTCTGGGGGCGCTGATCAGACTGACCCACATTTGCAGAGAATCTGTCAATCATGTACTATTGCTAGGTGAATTTAATGGCCAATCAGCGTCTCAGAACTTTATGGTCTTGGGGCGCTGAAAATACTGCGCTTTAACAGGCTTCTGAACCCAAGCGCAGGTGCAGACAGTTAGAGGGAAGATGGCGAATGTAACGACCGAGATGCAGCTTCCACCAAATTCGGTGAGATCCTTATTTATCTACCCGTTTGCCAGAAGAATATCCCTGTTGTAGGATATGAACATTTCATGTCATGGTTACTGTGACTGTGACGAATCCACCTCGTCGCTTAAAACAACCTCTCTAACTTTGCGCGCCACACACACATTCCTGTTATACTGTGTTTGTGAGGACCAATACACTCGCGCTGAGACCAGTAGCTCCATGAACTTAAAACACACAAGCTGTCCTGGTGTTACCTGCTGGCATATTGAGGGTGCACACTTAATATTTCAGTGGGGTTAGCCGTGTGTGTGTGTGTGTGTGTGTGTGTGTGTGTGTGTGTGTGTGTGTGTGTGTGTGTGTGTGTGTGTGTGTGTGTGTGTGTGTGTGTACGTGTTTATGCTACGGGGACTTGTCATCTTCAGTCTGGCTGCGTCTTTGCTGGGTTCAAACCCAGTTTGGTGTAATTGAATAAGTCAATGAATCTGTGTAAAAGAATTAAGTTGTAAAAATTATTTGTTTTTGTACATCAATTGTTTGTGGAGGTAATATATGGACAAAACTGATTAATGAGAAGAAATCAGAAATAAGAGAGCCTGATGTGAGGGGCTTAAACTATTTAATGAGGGCTGTGGGAAGAAGAGCGGCCATTTTTGTTTTCTGTTTCTTTGTTACATTGCTGGTAACTGGAGGGAGGCTGAGGCCCAGAGTATCTTTTACATGTTTAGTTTCTTTTGCACCCTGTTTTGAGTTTTTTGAGCTCAATAAATCACCAACACCGGTAACCCGACTGAGCCTGGATTCTTGGAGGCCAAAGAACCCCGTCACAGTGACCCAAATCATCACTGTTACTGTTATTATATAGTAAATTAAATCATTACTGTTAAATTGTATGTATTGTCCAATTGTTTATTTTAATTCTTATTCCGGATTAGTTGGAGACATACACTAGGCTATATCAGCCCCACCAAAAATAGTTTTCACCAGCCGCCACTGGTTCATAGGTAATAAAAATATCTTTGTCTTGTCCACCCTAAAGTGGTTAATGATTCCTTCTCTGGTGCTTTCATTGCTTTAGTGATCACAATTTGAGTTGGTGGTTATAGTAATTAAAGAGCTCCCCAACTAGAGGGTACCAGGAGTTGATGAGGTTCAGGTTCTGGACACTGTCGGGCCATTGAGGTTGAGACATATTTTCAAAGTCACACAGAGGACTGGGAAAAGAGGCTTACAACCATGTTCTGTAATTTATTTTGTTGGGTGGATGTCAGGGACTGTGGCCTCTGGGTGCTTTTAAGGGCCAATTATGACATTGAATCCAAAGCTGTGTCCCTTCTAGTTACAAAGTTTATCCTGTTTCTTACACATATTAGACTATAATCCCTAACCTAGGAATCAAGATGCTTAGGTGAATAAACAAGCTTTTTTGTAATAGATGCAGGATTCGGACACCTGTTAAAAGGGAGTTTTTCCTCTCCACTGTCGCTACAAGCATGCTTAGTGTGAGGGATTGCATTTGAGTCAATGCAATCAACTGGTTTTCCTTAGATAGAAAACTTTAAATCAATTTGACTGTATGATCTGGTGAACTGTGAAGTGCCTTGAGATGATATGTGTTGTGAATTGGCGCTATAGAAATAAACTGAACTGAATTGGTTCCAAACCGAGCAGATGATCAAGAGAGGTCAACTAAAGCTCAGTTAAAACAGACTGATCTTAAAAGAAGGCGATATTTTTTGGCTTCCTTTTACCAGTGTCTTCAACAGCTAACAAGACATCTTCACTTTTAAGGTGCATGAATTTCGCATGTATAGTAAGATTTTTCTTGTGAGTTTTAACCAACTGTCAACTGGCTTTACCAGCCTTTTCATATTGCCTTTAATGTTAAAAATATAAGTCTACAAGCTTAAAATGTGTGTAGAAACATCTCTCAGTGGGAAGAACAAGCACTCAAGATGCCGCTAAATCATTGCAAATATAGTATAATAAAGTCTTAAGAGTATTTTTCATGGGTACTCTTCAACTATGAGTGATAAAATTTAAACCAAAAATCCAGATATTCAATGTTTTAAAAATGTTCTCCATCTATATAGAAGCCTTTGAGCCTATTTGAAATTTATTTCTCTTTTCAAAGCCTTTCCAACCTTTTTTACTCCTATTCATTAAGTCAACAAATGTTTGTCATGTGTATCACAGCAGGGCTGTAGACTAAAATGAAACACAGTATATTAGTATTTTTATCGTGTAAACTGTAACAAATGTATCTCAGCACCAGAAACCTGAGGTATTTACAGGTAATCATCTTTCACTACATTAGAAATTTTATCTGCTATTGAAAAACTGTGTTTTGTCACCAGATTGAAAGTTAATCATTAAATCATTCCAGCAGAGGTAGCTTCTCAGAACATTGTTTTTTTAAACAAGTCCCTACTTGTTCAAGTGCCTTTGAATGCTTCATTAAGTGCAATGGGACTATGTTAGTAGTCTCTTCTCGTCCAGTTCACAATGAAAAATGCTGACGTGTCTGAAAGTGAAGCTGAATGACACAAAAGCGCTTTTTGTCCTCCACAAATAAAGACGGGGCAACATGTTTTCACTCCTGCAACGCCCCCCTGGAAATTTACTGGGTTAATCCAAGGACAATGTGCCACAAACTAGAGAGCAGAGACATCACAGGACAAAAACCTTCTTAAAAGCCAATGGATTGGGTTGGAACTTCTTTATCCTTCAGAACTGCCTTAATTATTTGGAGCATAGATTTTACAAGCTGTCAGGAACATTTCACTGACAGTTTGGTCCATATTAGAAATATAGCCCCTTCACATCCTGAACAGTCTCCTTAGGACTGAGAAATGTTGACTGGGCAGACCTGGTGTACTGGAGTGTAACTAGTATCCTGCTGGTGGTTGCTACCAAAAGATGGGTACACTGGTCATAAGGGGCTGAATGGGATCAGTTTGGCACTGCTAATGTAGTCTCAAGTGTTAGAGAACTTTTAGATACCACAAAGCTTTGGCTTAGTCAAGGCTATGTGATATGATGGAATGGTCATGCTGAACCCATCCTGGGCTCTCGACCTTAAAGGGGTTAAGATATGTCGAGTCCTTCACAAAGCAGTATTTGAGTTTAATGCATGTCATATTCTCTTCACCTGTGATCAGTTGATTTGGTAACCTGGAGGTAGAGATTCAACATTTACTAGCAGAGAAGCTAGGTCTTGATGTTCTAATCATCCAAGCGGATACATAGATTGATTGTGAACCATGAACAGAGGGATACCCTTTCTCATAAACAAAGATGAGACCATAAGGTTCCAAAACCAGAGATATCCAACCGAAAGGTGGATCCATTTTTAGAGTCCCGCCTGTACTCGGAACACGGTCAACCTAATTATGAGAATACAGATACTTTGCTTTTCTTATTTAAAAACAAAAAAATAATCTATGACCTATGATCCTACAGGACCCCAACACGATGCCTTGGGGAACACCATTTTATAGCCTTCTCTAAATCCAAAGACAAAAATCACTTTGCAATATTTAAAAAAAAAATCCTACAGCGGATCAAAGTTTGCTCTCTTGGCAAGTAAAAAGAGACACCTTCTGTGATTGACGTTGTTTATTTTTCATATGAACACAAACTTTTTAAAATAATTCCAGAAAGCTGGAAAAATACTAGACAAAAGGCGATAAAAGACGTGAAATCTCTGTTGGCTTTGGATGCAGGTTTAAAGTGGTTCTTCTCCGTGAAGACAAATGAAAAGGGGACCAAAAAAAAAAGAAACATTTTCACAGTGTTATCAAAATACTTTACAAAAACACACATTGCAAAAAGAAGGACATGGTTTCTAACTGTCCTAAATGTTGAATTGAATAGTGGGAATATAGTCAGAAACATCACCAGTATCTTCCAGATTGGCACAGAAAAAACAGAATCAAGAACTCGGAGGAAGACTGGTGTGATAGAAACTTTAAGGACCAAAGAGTGTTTGTGTGTAAAAAAGTGGGAGTAAAAAGCTCCAAGACAAGTCAATAGCTTCACTTGATTCATCAGTAAAGATCTTTCCTGGAGCTCAGTAGGGGACGGCTGGCGGAACAAGTGGCACTTCGAATCACCTCCATCCACCTGAAAAACACTCAGAGTCAGTTTGTGATGAAGATCAATTCATATTTTCACTTTGTCTCCAGGTTTCCTAGTGATTATAATAAAAATTCTAATATTGGAGAAAATTCTTGCCTCATAGGTAAAATGCCAAAAAGGTCAACTGTAGATATTTATACAATAATAAACCATTTTAAACAAAAGCCTGAAAATAAATAATGTAGAGGATGGAAAAGGAAATGAGTATGGAGGATGAGTTGATGGAGGGTTCAGTGGATGGACGTGTAGGTACACAGACAGAAACACTGAAGGAAGGGTGGTAGGACAGGAGCTTCAGACTGCTGCATTGAATCTGGATAGGTCTCAGCCTTACGGACATCATTAGTCGATGGAAATGCACATGGAGAATGTGTCCAATTGGGACTACAGCCTTCTAAAAAAGACCAACAAAAAACCTAAGTTACACAAATGTAGCTAACA